TATATATTATATATGGTGTCCTTAATTGCATAATTAATAAGTTGAAAATGTAATGCGTAGAAGGTGACATTTGGCTCCGCCATCCCTCTCTGTTTCAATGCTTAACGCAAGTTTAAAGTCCAGAAGACTACAACCTAACCGTTTCCACGATTTAATTGCTTAATGGTGCATTTCCCAAGATTTTTATAGTTAGATCACTATTATATCCACTTTATGTATGTATATGTATATATATATATATATAGTAGATAGATAGATAGATAGATAGATAGATAGATACTTATTAGATAGATAGATAGATAGATAGATACTTATTAGAAAGATAGATAGATAGATAGATGATGTGTGCATGAACTTTTATTTTTTTATCGCTGTACAGGTTACGCCACTATTCCGGTTTGAACCACAGTTTCTCCGGTGTGAGGTTGTCGGTTTCGAGTAAGTGCTTATTTTTCATGACTTGCGCCAATAAATGTTAGTAAGTTTGCCCAATTACAGCAGTATACTATTCATTACATCTACGTATACCCATATAGCATCTAAATCAGAGTGTTATAATCCAATGATCACCGATACATTCGTTTGAAAGGTACATAGATACAATGGGCAGGGGGCTAGTCCGCTGGTAGTGCGGTGTGTTTGACCTTCCCACAATATTTATCATATGTGCTCACTCTCATGAGTGATAAACAGAGAAAGAAGTGTGTACCATTTTTAAAGTCTTTGGTGTGACCCGGCCGGGGTTTGAACTCACGACTTCCCGGTGACAAAGCGAGCACTCTACCAATTGAGCTATTGCATATGCATCAGAGTATACGTCTGAGAAGACCAGAAAAGGGTTGAACTTTTTAATTTGTACCTAAAATTTATACCTTCCAAAAGATTGTTTTACTGAAGTTTTTCAAGGTATAATATTATTTAATGATATTTGAGTATCATATAATACACAGGTAGAGGTAGACAGCAAATGCGTAGGTCAAACTTTCAGTTGGTCTCTTCATAAATGTTAATAGCGACCGTCTCAACAACAGTGTAAACTTATACCGTCATATGTTTAAATTTAAAACTTTTGGTCCAACACAAAAATTCTCTCACCTAGAGCTTTCAACCAGTCACTCTGATCTTCCTCAGTAGACTGACCCAGTGAAGCTTGATACGTGGCTTCTTTGAAGTGTGACGTCAACACTGGGTCAAAGGTATCTGGTAGACGATGTCGGCCTCCGTCGAGGTTCAATGAAGGGTGATGGGCCCTGATGTATATGGCTTCCTTCACCCCTCTCAAGAAATAGTCCTGTTCAGAAGCCACGTGATAAGCTTCACTGGGTCAGTCTACTGAGGAAGACCAGAGTGACTGGTCGAAAGCTCTAGGTGAGAGAATTTTTTGTGTTGGACGAAAAGTTTTAACTTTAAACATGTAACTACCAACACAGATAAACTTTCATGATATTATACCGTCATATTTTGCCTTGCAGACGTGGAAGCACCATATCTATAGTGGATGTCATATACAACCTGACGGTGGACAGTCCTGTTGAGAAGAGGACGTACGATCTAGTCTACAATGCAGTCGCAAATGAAGAGATTCTCATTGAAGGGATGGCTGTAGATGTACTTTACATCGCAATTGAACAAGGTAGGGTAAAACTATGTTGAGTTATTCACCTTAGGCCACAGCAAGTATTTTTTTATGGATGACATTACAAAACATTAAATCAGAGCCTTTTCTTGTCTCCTCTCTTCATAGTTATCTGCCATTCCGGCATGGCAACAGACATCTTTGCCCATTTTCGGCATGTTGACCACTGTCAGAGGGCAACAAAATTTCTTGTGTTTTTTTCCAAAATCAGGCAAAAATTAATGCGCGCGCTGATGTCATCCAGACAAAAATTACTTGCTGTGGCCTAACGTGTCCCGAATCCATATCTACGTGCTTAGGCCAATATATATGTAGTGCATTACAAAAGAAAAAGTATTGTAACAGATAGCAACGCCTAACGCACATCATGTCATACGCCGTTTACCGTCTTATTCCTGTGGTAATACTTGTAGTCTCTCTTAGAATAGACTTGATTGTATTGATCACATTGTTATTGATGCCATACATTGTACCATGTACAACTGTCGAGCAATAAAGTTCATTCATTTATTCATTGTAATATGTTCTTTCCCGTCAGGCACGTCGTTTGTTCCCGTTGCGTTCTGCCACAACAACACCTGTCAGAACCACGCCACCTGTCTGCTGCTGGGGAACAGCACCTCGTGCGTGTGTCAGGACGGCTTCGTGGAGAACGGTACTGCATGTCTGCCCGCGTGTGACGAGGGGTACGTCTGTAGGGACGGGAGCGCGTGTCAACTGGAAGAGGGACTGCCGACATGCACGTGAGTTTACCTAAGTACCCTCTTTTCCATCGAACTAGGAAAGTGCGATGCTTCAGACAAAGCGTAGTGTTATTTTTACCACAGTTTCACTATAATTCTGACTTTCCTTGCTCTTGGTCCACGTCTTGTGGGTGCGCCTACAGCTTTGAGACCTCATTAGTATTATTACTAGGTTTTAATATTATTACAATTGGATATAATGAATTGTATTTTATGGCAATGCATTGTATTGTATTGTATTGTATTTTTATGACTAATATATGTTATTGTAGGAATTTGTATTTCATGTCAACAATTGTTCGACATTGTAATTTGTATTGTACTGTATTTCATATTGTTGTGTTTGGGAGGACAACTTGTAAAGGTGTCAATACGCCTGTTTTGTCCTCCCTTCCACTTGTATGTTTGTACTTGTAGCGAATTCTAATAAATAGATAAGTAGACAACAAGCGTATCCCATAATACATAGTAAGTACCATTCAGTTTGAATCCATGGCGGCACTAGAGAATAACAGACCTTTGATACCACATGTACGTATGGCAAAGGAGACATTCTATTTTCATACCAGTACAAAATGCCGTCTCGAATTCTATGACTAAGTTTTTTTTCTCTTTATCGTGGCAGGTTTCTTGAAGAAATAGGTTAACGTATTCTTACTGAAAAGGCGTGTTTCTGTATTATTTTGCAGGCCTGTACCTGACGACACGGGACTAGACGGTACGTTGTTCATTAATTACTGGCATTACTACATTTGGATTCATTAACGCTTATCATTCACACACACACACACACACACATGATACCATCTGTGTCAGTGAAGTCTTGTCGCTGGGGTAAACTTTCATCACGACTTTATCTGTGTCTGACAAACACAATACGTTTTGTAAAACGTTCACGAAAAGATCATTTAAATTTCAATTCATTTCTTTATTTCAGGTAAAAACCCATAGAACAAATATACAATACATCATTAAAATAATACAAAAAACTCTACAGACATACAAGTAAAACAGGAAGAAACCTAAAAGCATAATAAATGGTAGGTCGTGCTTTTGGGTAGCCTTGACTACAGACTGTTCAAGTCAACCTATAATGAAACAGTATCTGAATATTGATAATTTACGGCACAAAACTGCCGTCACAAAACTCCTAATTAGTTGCCACAAGTTACACATCGAAACCGGTACACATAACTGCAGTGTCTCCACTAGAACAACGAATATGTCGGTACTCTGATCTAGGAAGAATCGAAGATGAGAAACATTTTGTAACAGAATGTGAACTATACCACAAAGAGAGAGTAGATCTTTATAATCCGATACAATCCATGTTCCCCTTCTTCATACATCTAAGCTGTACAGATAAATTCATATTTCTAATGAGCTTAGACAAACCTTCTATATTGAAACATATCTGTTTTTACCTTTTTGCCATCACTAAGAAACGAGAAGAAACCGAATTTACTTGATTGTAGCTACTTAACGATGTATATACATGTAACGTTATCTATATTCCATCCTTTTGCTATTTATGTTTATTTTATTCACATGGATTTTTGAGCATTAGAAGGAAAGCACTTGTTCTGCTTATGTGAATCCTTTTGTTGTGACCTGTACTTAACCTAGTGGGTATGTGTGTACAATAAAGGTATTCATTCATTCATTCATTCATATATTTTCGCTGACTAATTGAATTCAGAGAAAATCACTGGGCTAAAGCATTAATGAGGTTATTCACTTAAAGCTCTGGGCTAAAACATGTGAGGAAAATAATTTTCCCTACCCCGTGTTCCCGCAGACCGCACGCTGTGGCTGCTGATCGCTGTGGGGTCCGGTCTGGGCGCGCTCCTGCTGCTGCTGTGCGGCATCACCGTCTGCCGGGCCGTCTACATCAAACGGAGACGGACACGCAAGTGGAACAGGTAAACCCGCAATGTCATCCATTCACAGGGCTCAGATACCTTCCTCAGAGCTTCTGATTGGAGTACTGCTTCTCGCCGCTATATGTAGGTGGCGCTTTTGCGTCAAGGACACAATCCCAAACGTGGCTAAGTTTGTATTCATCACTGGGGTTTACTTTCTTTGATCCGCATTTTAGTTATGCTTCAAAAGATATTGACTAACAAGCCTTATCTGTTGTTAAAAGGTACGTTGTCGAGGACGGGCGCTCTTCACTGGGATTCGTGTGGAGGAGAAAGAGAACTCAACGTCCCGGCAGCGCTTTTGGAGGTCCTAACCTAGACTTGGCTTGGGACGACTTTCACTTCGGCTTCAGCCCGTCCTACCTGACCGGCGGGAGCTACACCTCTCCCGCCGCCGGCTCTACCAGCCGCTACCCCGTCCGCCTTCCCCGCTTCCTCCCGGACACACCGATATCAAGTTCCTCCTCCAGCGGGACATCTGGGAGTCAGTACGGAGGGGGTTTGTTCACTCAGGTCCCTAGCCTCGGACCTCGGACGTACTTGTCTGGGGATGATGGACTTGAGGATGAGCCGTCTCCAACCAGGCAACCAGCATATCTGCCTGACGGAGAGCCTGCCGAGGATGCCTGGGATCGTGACTACGGTCGTCCTCGTCTGATTGACTACAGGTAATCATGTTTAAAGTTAAAACTTTTCGTCCAACACAAAAAAAAATTCTCTCACCTAGAGCTTTCGACCAGTCACTCTGGTCTTCCTCAGTAGAGTGACCCAGTGGGGCTTGTCACGTGGCTTCTTTGAAGTGTGACGTCAACACTGGGTCAAAGGTATCTGGTAGACGATGTCGGCCCCCGTCGCGGTTAAGTGAAGGGTGATGGACCCTGATGTAAATAGCCTGCTTCACCCCTCTCAGGAAATAGTCTTGTTCAGTGTCCAAAATATTATAGGTAATCATGTTTATCATATGTTTAGTAATTTAGCCCCAGACCTTGACTTAGCAGGTGGGCTGTCTATTAATTCCATGTTGAATAACATTAAGATGAGCGTTAGGTACTCCCCTTAAACTTCTTAAAAATCATAAGATTCAATTATTTCTTTGTTAACCTAGTAGTAACGAATAAAGACGATACATTGTCATACATTTTTTACATGTCACAATGCTCAATACCAAAGATTGATAAATACACTGTAAGGAATCTTATCTTAAAGCATGTGTGCAGGGATGTGCGCAATCTTTACGTATGCTTTGATGTGTGCTTAAAGAATGGGTTTTGTGCAGTGATTCTTACCACCCTGTTTTGCCCATACTACCACCGTGTAGACCCCGCATCCCAAGGCTCCGGCCCGTGTCTCAGCAACGGGGGAGACCGGAACAGCAGTCGGGGAGTCCGTACGTTGGTTCCCGCCGGCTGGGAGGGGAGGTGTACCTGCAGGGCCTGGGCAGCGCCTCCTGTAGGTTCGCCCTGCCCCGCTACCTGCCCCGGCCCCCGCAGACGCTGCCGGCAGAAGACGAGACGTACCCGAGAGCGGAACGAGGAGGACTCTACACGGAAACTTTTGGCCCTGATAGAAGCGTATGTATAGATATATCGTCTTTGTATTTCACTCATACCAAAGGTATGAGAATGAAATTTAAGTTGAAAAATGTAAATTATTATGTTAATTACTAACTTAGTTTCGTAAAAGCCAAACAAAAAAACAAGATTTCGAAGATCTCATACCTGCATGAAATATATGAGTTTTTGGAAATGTTTTTTTTATTTGTCTCATTGAATATGGAAGTAAGGTCGTAATTAGCATAATCTAGTTTAATTTATGATTTTCTAAATTCAAATGACAATATTTTTCGTATAAAATTCCTCTCCTTTGTCATATTTCATTTCAACATGTCCTCATCGATTATGCAAACACACACACAGACAGAAACACACACAGACACACAGACACGCCAAAAACAATACCTCCATTTTTCATGGAGGTGCATTTCCAAAAGCTCTACATATTTTGTGTTCTGCTATTGGACAGGGGTGAGTTTGAACAGTCCAATGTTGTATGGGGAGGGAGATGGACTGAAATATACTGCACTTGCTGGCGAGCAAAAGTCGGCCTTTTTAGTTATTTTTTTTATATTTGGCTTCCATCTTCAACAAACATCATACTGATATTCTTTTATATTTCCTAACAGTTCAAGATCAAGCGGCCTGCTATGAGCTACGCACCGTACGGAGTCTACAGGGTCATTCCGGAATCCAACCTGTGAGAACGAAGCAACCTTCCGCATCATCTGTCAGAAATACGTCATACAACAAGCTGGTCTTCTGATCTACCATTATATAACTTGTATTAACCACCTGATATAGATATCTGTCCTAAGGCCACGCCAATTCAATTTGTTGGTTCTCGGATTCGCCTCTTCGTTTTTTTTTCTGATTTGCAAAAAAGATTCTGCTTCTGAGTCAACTCAAAAATATATGTTTATTTTACCCCCAACAGTTAAGGAAAGTCCATTTCTTCCTAGTTGTTATAGTTTTCCATCTATCAATTGATTTAAAGTTGTGGTTTGATTAAAAGTTCAAAATTCATTGTTTAAATTTTGACCCAGCCTTTTGTGTTGACTGCATGGCTCCTATTGTAGCATTTGGGGCTATAATAGGATGCCTAGACCTGTTTTTTTTCGCCCTGTCGCTTCATACTTTTTCTGAAAAAAATCCGAGAACCAACAAATTAAATTGGTCTGGCCTAAAGGTTCTGTTTACATGCTCTATGCTCCCTCCACCAGTGTCAGTTGCTCTCAAAAAATGTAAAAAAAATTAATTCTCTGCAAAAAAAAGCAGTTTGGTTGGCTTCACAAATGTAGATACATGTGTACAAATGTAGATATTGAATAATATGCAGCTCTATTCAACATTTTGCTGTATTTGTATTGCAATATTGCATTAGACAGGGTATAGAACATGATGCTTCTGTAAACTATGCTAGAAATATTTGTATAAAAGGAAATGGAACACAATCAAGCTATACATAACAATACATTTTATTAAAGTAAAGTTAAAGACATTAAAATTAAAACGAGAATTGCTAACAAATATCATTAACTCAACATACTATAACTGTACAAAATGTATGACAATTTATGGTGAGACGCATTAATTCAGAAACCGCTTCTTTTGTTTGTTACTTCTTTTGTCAAAAATCTACAAGTTATGTAAAAAAACATTGAACACTTTATTATGGACATTATTTTGAAAAATAATTCTGCAAACGTAATTCAGCTTTGTGAATTCATAGGGTTTTATAATGTATATCAGGAACGTTGAATAGAACATTTTGCATGAAAAGAGACGAAATGTTACGGATTCCAGTTACGATATAAAAAAACTGCTTTGTACAAACGCTTTAAATCATGTGGCAATTCCTAAATTGCCAAATATGTACTGTTTAAATAGGATCTATATGTGGTAAATCAGGGTAAAGATATGCTGTAAAAACGAATTATTCAAATGTGCTATCTAATAAAATATCTATTTTATGTAAAGTTGGCGTTTGAAATGTTTTATGGCTTCCTCATCTCTATAGATCCACACATTGTTTCAAAATAAGTTGTATTGCCTCCATGAATGATGGGGGTATTTTTGGTCTGTGTGTGAGTGGGTCCGTCTGTGTGGGTTTGTTGTTAGACTTAATTAAGTTTTTTAGAAAAAAATATGGAACTCCTGGTGGCTGACCTTGGTACTGCAGCAGAACTAGGTATCTTTTTTCATGGACATGCTATGATTTTTTTTTGTTGGCAGATAGATTTCCGTGTCAGGAACAAGTGCTGTGGGTTTAGCCTCGGTCACAACCCGCCGTACGTGCTTCTGCGTGCTGTCTACGTGCAAAAACTTGGCCAAACGTAGGGCATCCGTGCGTGGTGAGTACCGCCTCCGTGCGGAATCCTACGGATTTTGGAGCACGCAGACACGCCGTAGAACTTTAAGTGCATGTAAAACTGCGTGCTGTCTGCGGATTCACCACCCGTACGTGTGAGTACGGCCTCCTTACGGTAAAGTTGCAATCGCACAGAGATCGTACGTTGTAAGCACGTACAACTCACTTGCCACTTGCGCAACGTACGATGCACGCAACCGCTCACGGCCAGACGTGGCGTGCAGACCCCGCTCTTACACCTTGCGAAACCGTGCGAGTGACGTGTGTCGACGCCACTCCTTCCCCACGTTTTCAGAAAAAAAGTAGCAGACGTAGCTTCCCAAAAAACGTACGGACAAAAAGCACGTACGGCGGGTTGTGACCAAGGCTTTTGGTTTTCCTAGCAGCTTGTTCCAGAAGAGCAGGGGAGTTTCCGGGGATGAAGTTCAAGCGGAAAACCCCAAAAAGGAACAGCGTATTTTCATGAGTCTTGTTATGTAGGTAGCTTGGACAGGGATCTGCACATTTAAGTAACAATGACGGCTGGCTTAACTTGCATAACTAGTTAGGAAACTCTGTGATCTAATGGCACATCTAATGAGGTTTTATCAACCACGTTGAGATACAATTGATATCACAAGAAAACTTGTAGATGGGCAACTGAATTGTTCAGTTTCCAAAATGAAGCGTCTAAAAATAGATATCCCCAATGTCTCTGCATTGACGCTAGAAACGTTGATACTGAAATTAATATTGTAGTCAATGATTTTAGAATCAAACAAACCAGACCATTAGAGCATCAGCCCGTTGAGAAGAACACTCTTTTGTGCTATGCTGTATTCCACTTTTCCATTCGAAGGTTCCTTAATACACAAAGGAAAACGTGGTACCTCCACTCATTACAGGGCTTCAATACCATGCCATGGTCAGATACTTGCATGCAGGAATTTTTTTAACTCGCCACTGTGAACACATTCGCATGGACTGCTATTTTGATGACATCCGCTAGAGGTCACTGTGAGACCGTGCTTGAGTTAACGTCACAGCAAACGTGTGGTGAAGTTGAGGTCACATAAGTGTACACACGTGCCTACACAGTGGTGACGAGACCGACCTTTAAACTTGTGTATTATTGAACAATATCGCCAGGAAAGGAACTAGATTCTGAAAATTTTCAAAACTTCCACACTGAAGATTATAAAAGCCAATTAGACAAGATAAACAACCAGCCTTAATGTCTGAAAGGTGATTTCTACACTTAGTTCGTTAGTACATCGTACTTTAGAGCGCTGCCGGTCGTTTGAAGTTGCGGCTAGCTCCTTGCGTTCACAAATTGGCCGCCGCCGTACCTTCGTAAAGACGTAATCGCGAAGTTCTTAAGAACTAGCCAAGGTCAACGTTCGCGCGTTCAATGCAATTCGATCTTTGAACTTTCCGAGTTTTGTATTTCTCTGTCTTGTTAATTGTTGGTACTATCTTCTGCTTTTCCATCATGCCAACCTGTTTAGTTCTCATCAGTTGTTAACTCCAATATATTATCACTTACCCAAAACTTCATCACCACATCAGAACGTTTTTAAAATATTTCAATTTCCCCCTTTGTTATTTATGTACTGTGTCCTCTTTGCCATCATTTATCATTGGGTGGGGAACCGGACCTGCGCTCTTGAATTTCTTGTATTTACTGTTTTTTGCCTGTCTTAAAGTTGCGATTGTTTCTTTTCTTTATTATATGTATTTATTTAGTGGTGCCGTCAACATAAGTGCTTTCCACTTGAGTGAGGCACCACCATGTCCTGTATCCTTTTCTCATGTGAATGAATAAAAAAAAAACCTGTTTAGTATGCAATAACAGTTGGAATCAGCAATGACAAGCCGATAAGCTTTCACCGTCGGACGAAAAACGTCAAAAATGAATAGTCAACGTGAAGCCGCATTTGCGACAGCCCTGGACAGTCGCGAACGTTGACCTTGGCAAGTTCTTAAGTACTTCGCGATTACGTCTTTACGAAGGTATGACGGTGGCCAATTTGTGAACGCAATTTCGTAACTAGGAGATGGACAAGCACTTTGACTCTCAAAAATGCCGGTACATGCGTTATTGAATGTTTAACAATTGTCAGTGGAACATGCCCTGGACCGCCCTAGATCGCCACTTTGGGATCTTATAGGGCGGTCAAATTTTGGGACGAACTCACTGAACCTAGGCTGGTGGAAACGTTTTCGTTTTCGTCAATTTTTATCACATTAATTAATAAATATGGGCAGCAAACGCTGGAGTAGGATTAAGAGAACAAGAAATAGCCACGCATTCAAGTACCAGAGTTATCAACCAAGGATTGAGGTGTTCAAGAATTCATTCTTTCCTAGAACTATCGCAGAGTGGAACTCACTGTCACCAAGTACAGTAGGGGCATTGTCAATAGATAGCTTTAAACAATGTCTAGAGCTAGAAGTTCAAGGGTTAGGTGTAACAAGTCGATCGGTGTAATATAACCAGCTGCCGCCGCGCCGCGTGCCTGCGAAGCTGGTGTGTTACGCCGAAAGGCGGTTATACCGGCTATACAGATACAGACAGACAGATACTAAAATATGAGATTTACTAACTATTCAACCGGCTGTTTACTAGTATTGCCTGAAGTAACCACTACCACATCAATAATCGGCAGTTGTTGTAGTTGTAAACAAAACACAGCCCTACTACAAAATTCCGCTACTAAAAATCAATCAATCAAATCAAAACTTCTACTGAACTTCTCACACGGTCAATACCATCCGTTCTGCTGAATCCCAGTGAAAGGATTGGCCGTCCTAAAAAGCAAACAGCGGGAACAAAATGTCTTGTGTCAAGTAGGCCTTCATGCAGAACGCTTTTGATGAACACTGAGGTGAATCGGACCTATGCTGGAAAGAATTTCAGCCAAGAGCTAAGGTTCAGTTCTTTTCTACTTTTCAGAGTGACAGTCCGTCACACCTAGGATACCAAGAATAACGTAAACTTTGAGGTTAACTGTTTCAATGGTGAGTATTTGGTAAACATGCCCCTGGAACGCCTTTTAGCATTCAACTATGCATGCAAGTGTAACGGCAGCTGCACCGGCTGAATCTAAACAACCATTATGACATTTCCCACGGTCATGACGCACTTAGAAGTAGCTACAGACAAGTCTCCGCCTTAGCAAGGACTTGATGTAAGAGTCGTTAACTCGGCAAAAGGACAGGGAAAAGGAACGATGCTGCTTGGTGTCGTTAACTTGCACTATACTCTACATCAGCACGTTATAAAGGCGTGAGTTTGGGCACCAAGATTAGCATGGGGACCGCGCGGGAGACTCGTGTTCGCTGGCTGTGGGCTGTCCTCGTCCCGGTCTGCCTGACACCATCAATAACAGGTGAGTTGTGTGTTAAGATTTCTCAGTTGAAAGTCCTTCAGTTGTATAGACGTCCCCAAAAATCATATAAAGTCATTGCGCATTCAAATTACAGTGCTATTTCAGCCCAACCTGTATTTAAAGTGTATTTAATACACCTACAACATACAAAATGTAACTACACGTATTTTAGCATGACTAGGTAAGATGCATAATTCTAGCCATCATAGATGCTTCCTCTCTCTCTCTCTCGCTCTCTCACTCACTCACTCACTCTCTTTCTCAGCGTTTTCGGTCGGCCTCGAAGAGCTCGGGGTACTTCATAATTCTCGCCTACTACGAATTTCTCTTCCCCAGAACCACTTCACTGTGGAACAAGCTTCCCCGTGAATGTTTCACCGCTAATTACAACCTCCAACGGTTTAAATCAAGGGTGAACAAATATCTGACCTCGCAGTCATCACTGTAACCCAAAACATGTAAGTGGCTCTCATGGGCCTTGTTTTGAGGTGAATTCTGAAGTAAATAAAAAAAAAATTTCTAGTCTTATCGAGTAATGATTTTTCGACAGTAAGTAATATATAATGCGGCTCGCGTTTGCAGCCAAGCACACTGGATCATGCCTTATCCATGCGTGGTTCTGGACACTCTACGGTAATATCCACGACCGTGGCTGAGTTAAATCTACGTTCTTGGGGACGTTCCAGGACCGTGCCTGACCACGCACATTTCTGGACACACATGGGCCCTATCCCATTTCGTGTACAAGTAGGCAATCATAAAAGATGTTTGGCTAAAAACGTGGCGCTCTGAAATTGCTAAAGATAGTTTGAACTAGTGAAATCTCACAAAATCACTCATTTTACGTAAAACGTAAAAGTATGTGAAGACAATGATTTAATCCTATTCAAAGGAAATTTTCCCTTCCATACTATTTTGTATATTTTGAAATGTTTTAAATATTGTTGTAACCCAATACTTTTTTGGAACGCGCCTAGCAACGGTAACGAATACCCGAATACCTTAGCAACCGACGGCCGTTATTGTATTGTAACGCTCTGCAAAAAAATGAGAACATTATATCATTACTAGTTCGTTATTTAACATTCTTAAGGTCTCATTCATGAGTTTTTTCCATACATTAGAAACCATGCATTAATAAGTGACTTACGAGACCGTGTTCCCTATCATCCTACATTAAATCAATTGATATCTTTAATTTCATGCTATGTTGAGCACACTTACTCTACGTCTCATAAAAAATTGCCAACGACTTCCATACACACAATCCCCTTTTATGGGAATTACAAACTGCAACTAGCGGCTGCCCGCAAGAGGCCCTCCCGCGCTGCAAACCTACGACCGCACAACTCACAACACTGGACTGTGCACGTCCGACCTAGCGCGCGGCTGCCGACAATTATGTCCTAATTTCATCAGTTACAAACAAGCTTTCACCGCTTTGACGTTTTACATCAGTTGGGATGGCTAAAGGGAAAATTCTCACCAATAAAAAAACATGTTCATACAGCCGTTTAGTTTTTGACTTGGTACTCTTTTAGGGAGTAATACATGAATGAGACCTTAATACTGCCATGAACCGTGAGGAAGGGGGGGGGGGGTGCAGACTCAGTCACATTTGGGACCGCTTTCTCTGAGAAGTAATCTTATTTCATGACAAGTGTATAAATTTAACTCCTGTACGTTTGGGAACGCATTGCAGATACTGTCTCCAATAACTGTGCGTTTGGAACCGCATTGTAGATACTGTAACAGTTTAGACATGTAAATGTATTGCGTTTGGGTCGCATATAATGCAGCGGCACCTGTGCTAAGCGTCCTTTGCATATTCTGTAATCAAATTTCCTTAAACAGTATTTTAAGATCGTGTTTTAGTCTACGGCAATGTGAATCTCGTTTACAAATTTTGATAGTCGCAAAATTTGCATATTTTACTTAGAGGGTACGCTTCTTTCTGCCGGATTTTATATGTAAGGAATGGTCCCTAGTGTGAAGTTTGCATATGCCTTTTTGCTGTTTAAAATTTGAAATATTTAGATATGTTTTCTGCCATAAATCTCTTAGAACTTTATGATATTCTTATTTTTCCTTATCTTCCTTTTCCTTTCTACCCTTTGCTTGTAGTTAGTTTTGAGTTGAATATATGGTTGAATGTACTTTTAAATCTTTTACTTTTTTGACGATTACATTTTTAGGATTACTTAGTATTTCTTGTAAAAAGGCAGGAAAGTATTGTAGTACATTTTCTCCCTCAGTTTTGCTTTACCTGAACACGCAATATCCATCTTAAATTTCAAAGAAACTCTATCCAGTAGGATGAAATAGTATAACTGAAAGTGATAATTAATAAAAAATAGAAATATCTAACTTTGGCCATGTTGATTTGATTATATGGATGACATCCGCGCGCGCATGAATTTTCGGCCGTTTCAAAAAAAAAGAAGTTTTCAACCATACTGTAAATCGTACAAAACAGTTGCAAAATGAGCAAAAATATACCATAAGTTACAAAAAAAAATTAATAAAAACTATACCAATGTCGTAGAATGCCAAAATCAAACGAAAAAAGACGAAATTGTAAAGAAATGAACTTGAAGACTAGATTATTCGCCAAACCATATTCTGTGCCATTTGCTCAACCCTCATGACCACGTAGATTTCATAATGAAAAGAACTTTTTTTTTTTTGCAAAACTTTTTTTTTATTCGCACGCGCGCATCAGTTTTGGGAGGATGTCATCCATATAATCAAATCAACATGGCCTTAGCCTAATAACTCAGGAAACGCTTCATATGTCTTGCCAGGTGTTGTGGACGTCACTATTGTCAGTAAGTACCAGTTCTTTGACGAGTCCGATGACACCTGGCTGTACTGTTACTACACGGGCAGTCTCGTCAACCAGAACGATTACCGGTTCGGTGTCGAGGTCGACACTGGCTCGGGAACAGCTTTTACACCACAGAGAGACTCCGGTGCTTTCTTTAGAGGCACGAGTTCGAGGATCTTGGATAATGCTGGTGACTTCCGGGTCGGAGCATTTTCCTGTCAAATACGCGACGGAAATCAAACAGAAAAGGCCATCACCTTCAAAATGAAATCGCAGGGTGAGTGCACAACAAAACATGCTTCTGACTATATCTGCATCTATCTTTGGAGTTCACCTATGAGTTAATTAAAAGCTCACAGACGGGAAAAGCCGTATCAATGTTAACTTTTGTTCGTATGATACCAACTGCAAAATAATGTTAGCCGCACAAAATTATATATTAGAAACAAAAAGATTCTAACTGTATGTGTCTTCTGGGATGGGAGGTTTGTTACTCACGCGAGGTCTCATGTATTTTTAAATGTCTTGTAAAATATTTTTCTTTCATTGTAAAAGTGGCTGCGAGAATATAAGTTGTACCTAACTTGAGTTCGCAGTCACTTAGTCCATGTCTTTTCATTTGTAATTCTCATTTTGTTTCTGAATAAAAATAAAAAATAAAAAAATGTTAACTTTGGCCAAAAAGGTTATATTTTTGGTAAATATTTACTTGTGGTTATGTATGTGGTTTAGCACGATAGCTATTGATGGACTGTCGTGAAACTTGATATAACTAGTAGTAGGTATAACTAGTTATAATATTATTTTCAGCTGATGTTTGGCCAGTGGCTTTCACAGTAACCGCCAGCCTAGGAGACCCCGTGACGCTACAGATGGTACAGAAGTCCGGTAGAACCGGTACACTGGTGTGGAGGAAGGGCGGGGTCGGAGGGACTGTCCTGACTGGACAGAACGGACTCAGCCTGACCATCACAAGTGTCCAGGAGTCAGATGAGGGGATCTATGAGTGCTACTATCAGGGGGATACTGATAGAAAACAGGGCATCATGAGGCTCATTGTCAGAGGTAATATAACACGCTTTTGCATGCCAACATGGGTTCTATTCTATTCTATACTATACTGGGCAAGACCCTAGGTAGGGCATCCCGCCCAGTGTGCAAAGCTATTGCGGCCGGTGGGGTGCGGTGAGTAAAAATGTGCTTGGCAACAAAACGGAACAGAAGATAAATTTGTGCATTTTGTGCATGGCCGCAACTAGCAATACCCGACTTAGGCCGTGTCTAAACGGAATCACCCAAGGCGGTTTACATGTGGTTTACCCCGAAGCCGGTTTCAAGTGGCTCCATGTGAACGCTCCGAAATCACATTGAAAGCGCCTCGATCCCAAGGCACTTCTAGAGGTGGTTTCGAATCGGTTTCCCCGCATCGCGATTTGCGTCTGAACGCAATGGGATTTCAATGTGCCTTCGCCTGGTCATGGATTACGGGGTGATATTTCTTTATTTATATGCAATACCAACTTTTACGTGGCAGCAACTTAAAGAGCAGTAATGGTCAAATAATGTGTACGTTCTAGGGCGAGCTTCACCGCCTCTGGTGGGACCACGTCGGCATTCGGCCGAGATACGCTGGGAGGGGGGCATCAGCAAGCAGGTCGTTGACCTCTGACATTAATAACACGCCGCCTTGCGTGTTGCGTGTTATCATCAAACAGCAATAAATGTAGCTCAAGCGCATTATGTTCGGACACGGTTTTACAGGTGTGTGGCACGTGGACCAGATGTGAGGAATGTGAGTTACCCGAATCGCGGTTTGGGTGATTCCGTATAGACACGGCCTTACATCTGTAAGATGGGGTGGCCCAGGTGCAGGGCCAACCCCGTCTTGAATGTGTCGACAGATTGTTGTGTTACAAGGTGTTCGGGTAGTGCGTTCCATTCTGTGGTGGTTCTGAATATGTTGGTTTTGCAGCTGAGTGTTATGTATCGAAGGGGGTGGCCCCTTGTAGTGTTTGTGTTCTTTGTGATGTAGTCTTGTGTAGGTTCAGTCCCATTTGAATAAGTAAAACATAAATCAAATACAAAAAATATTGCCATTGTGTCAATTATTTGTTGACTATATGATCCGTACTGGTTGGCATACATGTGGAAGGATTGGTTAAACTGTTCCCTAATTAAAATTGACACATCGGAATTTATCACGAGTTTGATTCAGCTTTCGTGACACGCATAACGACAGCTAAGGGTCAAAGTTTGCTTAAAATCAATATCGCCCCCCCCCCTCCGTATTGGTTGAGAGAGGGTAGGTCACACCTGCATGAAGTCACCTGTCCTGAGTTAGTAGGTCGAAAATGCCTGGCTGTCTTTTTTTTTAGATTGGAGAGCACTGAAACATTTCGAATTCCTTCGCCAAGAAGGTTATCATGTTTTCAGAGGCGTTCCAGCTGTGTGTGTGTGTGTGTCTGTGTCACAGTGTGTGTGTGTGTGTGTCTGTTAACACCATAACTTGAGAAGGCTTAGATGGATTGTCTTCATATTTAGTAGGTGGGTAGGTCTTGATGAGACCTCGAAATTATTAGATTGTCGGCCACCTAGCGGCTTCTTATAGTACTGCAGTTGGACTTCCGGTTTTGATATCTCATGATCCGGACATGCTAGGGTCACGAAATTTTGGAGGGTTGGTAGCTCTTGTGCTGGGGAGGAAGTGATGTAATTTTGGGCCCCCTAGCGGCTTGCTCTGGAACTGCAGGGGCGTTTCTTTAAAAAAATATTTAAAAGAGGATAACTCAAGAACCAGTTAACGGATTGTCGTGATTTTTGGGTAGGTAGCTGAAGTGATGCTTGACACAATCATGTGATAATTAAATTTCAAAATTTCAAATTTATGCAAGTTTATGCAAATTTGGATGTAATTTGCATAAATAATGAGGAAATTCTATAAATCCGCTGCATTACATGATAGGACTATTCAAGCTTGTAACATATGTAATTGAAACGAGAGAAACCCAGGCAGATATTGATTATGTAAATGAATACCTCATTTGCATAATTAATGAGAAAATGTTATAATTCTATAATGGTAAGTGCCTGGAATCTCTTGCTTGGGGTACTTGAAAGTTAAGTGAAGGTGAACATCATTAAACGTAGCTTGTTCAAAGCTTGGTCCTCATTTGCATAATTTATGAGAAAATGCTAGAATGTCCTTTTTGTTAAGATGAGGCCGTCTTTGGGTCATGTGGTGGAGAATATGGTCAACTGATATACTAGTAATTCATGCAAATGAGTATCCTATTTGCATAATTAAAGGGCCCCGGGATTAATCTATAATTTGATAGTCATAAAAGTTAACATCATTTGGCGAAGAATTTGGCGTGGAACTCTAGTTTACCAACTGTTTGAAGTTCCTATTAAACAGAGGTAGCCATACAAGAAGTGTTAACTGATATTTGTAAGTAGCTTAAAAGAGCAGTTACTGTATGCGTGTCTAGAGAAGTTGAAATATTTTGCTACCATATCTTAGGCATTGGTATCTTTTACCAATGCCTATTAGCTTACTCACAAGAAATACACGTAACTTTGTACATCGGTACGTACCAATGATATTGACTCTCATGGGCACGTGCGTTACCCCCTATAATTAAAAATGACAACAGGCCACAGCGGCGCTGTAATATAGCAACTGTGCCAATTTGCTTACACTCAGATTGTGCTGAGAACAGGTGGGGTCCTCCCTCCTGTACCGCTGACTGTCCAGTGTGCTACAACGGCGGTGTGTGTGATGACAACACGGGGGAATGTGTCTGTCCTCCGGGGTTCCACGGACAGAACTGTGAAAGTGGTAGGTATTGCTTTTGGCATAATCGCTTCGTTATAATTAGTTAATTACATGTACATAAAATCTTTCTTTGACTGGTATGTGTCATTTTTTTTAACATACAAATTCCAGCACATAAGCTAAGTTGTTGAGATGCCAAAGGGCGATATCAAACATATCATATAATAAATCTACTAACAATGCCCAATTCTATTCTTCAAGCCTGTTCGTATGGCATGTTCGGAACTAGCTGCAAAAAAGCGTGTGCCAGTGGAGACTGTACGGGTCAGCTGCTGTGTGTGATGGACCCGTACGGCTGCTCCTGTCCGCCTGGACTCATGGGCATAGAGTGTAATACTGGTAAGACTAATGGCACATATTACTGAATATATTTAAACTTCTGCCCGCTTTTAAGCCTCCAAATATTAAAGCGATATTATGTAAGAGTTTCACTATTTTGAACATCGTTGTTTTACACATTTTCTTGCGCTATAGTATAAGCCTACCTGGGTTCATACTGACATTTGGGGAGTAAAAGATCAACGTCGTTGACGCCGAAAAAAGACGAAAATCGCCATTTGTTTACATCTTTTTAGCAGCCTCCTAAAATACAATGAGCCTGGCGCAACTTATTCTCGTGCTGCGCTGAGTCGCAAAAAAAACGTGCTGCTGTCAAACCTGACCTTCGTTTTTATAACCGCTATTCACCTACTGAATATCATGAAGATCCATCCAAAAATTATCAAGTAATGCTAGCTGTATACAGACCCACGCCAAAGCCACTCCACCATGTCCAAAACACACCTTTCTGACAAAGCAAATGTATTTCCTCATACTTGGTAACACTTAAGTTCAGTTTTCAGTTAATGTTGTGTGCGTTATGTTATTTTTTTGATTCAGACTCACACCTTTTGTTATGTTGGTTTTACTTTCATGTACATTTGTTTTGTTCTGTTCTGTACATTTGTTTCATTGTAATTTTGCGACTCCAGGAAGAATAGATTTCATGTAAATCTAATGGAGATCGAATAAACAAACAAACAAACAAACTTAACTGTACATTAATGATGAAAGTCTGATGTCATTTTTAGTGTGTCCAGGCGGCTTGTACGGAGCTGGCTGCACCCAAACCTGCCACTGTGCAGCCGGACCAGCTGCCTGTGACAAGAAGACTGGATTCTGTACTGGGGGGTGTCTGGACTTCTGGACTGGGGACTCGTGTCAGATCCGTACATAAATACTGGAATTATCATTGTTGTCATTACGGCATGAGATACACATGGGCGCGGTTGTAAAAACGTTTCTGAACTTTTTTATTTCAACATGCAAAAAAAAGATACAATACATAGTGGTGACGCACTCAAGCAGAATGCTTATATTCACGTCACCACTACACATAAAACAAAAATTACATCACAGAACATGGGTATCGTCCAGGTAACAAGAGAACAGAGTTAGCTATTAAGACATTATAAATGGATATAGAAGTATAAATCAGTTGTTAAATCGCTTAGTTTCAGAGAGATATAGCTGTGTGATAATGAGTATTTGAGAGTTGACTTTAGATGAAAGTAAAGGTGATCCATTAAGTAGCAGATACACAAAAGCACTTTCTGAACTTCTTGTGCAATTGCAAATCTTGTCATTGAAGTTTCAAGTAAGTCTCATTATCTAAATTTCTTTCATGAATATGAAAGTAACAGAAACGTTTGTAAAAATGATGTGAATTTCTGTTTCAGCTACTGTCTCATATGTAGCTCTCTTCGTCAAGGAGGAAGGTCGCTATTTCGGTGATTCTCCTGACAACATAACGGCATACAGCGACATAGACACAGAAGAGTGTGCTCGCCGCTGTCTGAAAGGTTACGGCAGCTACGATGGCGTCAATCCGACATGTCTGTCCTTCAACCATCGCCCTGCCGGATCGCCAGAGGGCGGCAGTGCACGGTGTTGGCTCCGTAGTTCTGACAAGGACACGGCGGTATCTCCTGGTCCTGAGTGGGACAGTTGGCCTTACCGAAATTACTACCAGAGGAAACGTAACCACAAACTTTATACTTCTATTTGACTAGAAGGTTAATAGTCTATAGACTGTATACTTCTGAAAATAATTTCATCACGTTGCCATCATTGGCAATGTATCTCACCTGCTTCTCACTGGAGCACTGCTTCTCTCCGCTATATGTAGGCGATACATAATGATAATTCGAACATAATCCGAACCGTGCCTAAGACACAAACTTAGGTACGTTTGGGATTGTATTCTCGCCGTAAAAGCTCCACCGACGTCGGCTACATGTAGCGGCGAGAAGCAAAACTCCAGTCAGACGCTCTGAGGAAGGTGTCTGATAAACATCGAAACGTGAGAAGGTAGGATGCATTACCGCTTGTGTAAAAAGAGAATCCCTTTATCCTCTATTCTTAATAATTTTCTTCATATACATCGCCAGAAACGAAATGTTAAGTTTCATTCATTGTTTCATTCAATTTTCTGCTCTAGGCATGTTGTCTTAGGAATCCCGTTAGAAGAATACGAAATTCACAGTAATGAATAAGCAAAAAATTCACAAAAACACAAGGAGGTTTAAGATTTTTGATTCCTTGTATTTACATGGATTCTTTTTCGCCGTTCTTTTCAGACATTCTGGCGCCCCAAGATTGCACTGACATGTTTGCCCTTGGGATTCAGTACAGTCATGTTTACACCATCGGCTACCCACAACCATTCCAAGCCTACTGTGACATGGACACTGATGGCGGGGGGTGGACGGTCATACAGCGGCGTCAGGACGGGTCTGTGCCGTTTGACAAGACTTGGACTGACTACGAGCAGGGATTCGGTAATACTAGTGGAGAATACTGGCTGGGATTAAAGAACGTCCACAGCCTGACAACACAGAAACAAAACGAGCTGTACGTGTACTTGGAAGACTGGGAAATGAACAGCCGGTTTGCGCGGTACAGCACGTTTTCTGTGGGAAACACCAGCAGCAAGTACACGGCAACGATCAGTGGGTACAGCGGGGATGCAACTGATAGTTTGGACTCGTCTGCTGATGATGGACGTCACAGCATCAACAACAGACAATTTTCTACAACAGACCAGGATAACGACGGTGTCAGTATTAACTGTGCGGGTCGATTCGGACAAGGAGGCTGGTGGTACACTCCGAGTTGTGGTTACGCCTTGTTGAACGGACAGTATCTGACCGGTTGCTCAGTACCTGCTCCACCATCCTGCTCCACAACAAAAGGAATCGTCTGGTACACTTGGAGAGGTTACCGATATTCCTTGAGGAAAACACTTATGATGATTAGACACACCAATTTTTCAGGTATGTGTAAAAAAAAATTAGTCGCTACTTTGGGCGTCATGTGCTAAAATAAAGATGAGGGCCATTGTAGGAAAGATCATCTAGGATGTCCTCTTATATAGTTTTAGGCCAGCTTCTTTTTCTTCTTTTAGCAATTTTGTTTTGATTACAATATTAAATGTAACAATGTAAAAATAATCACCTTAGAAGATTCATGGTGCAGACTACAGTTAATTGAGGCAAATAAGAGGGGAATGTTTGTACAACCAGGTAACGGAGCATGGTAGTTAAAGGAAAAAATAGGCTAGTTTCACTTTTTGGCAAATTCAACCCCGAAAACGTGTTTGCGAAAGGTGATTCATTGGTTTCGACCAGTCCTGCACACATTTGGTTGATATTTACCTTCGCCAAGAAGGTTATGTTTTCGTAGGCGTTCGTGTGTTTGTGTGTCTGTGTGTGTGTGTCTGTGTGTACGATAACTTGAGAAGGCTGAAATAGATTGACTTTGGTAGGTGGGTAGGTCTTGATGAGACATGGAGATGATTAGATTTTGGGCCCCTAGTGGCTTCCTATATGGTACTGCAGCGGAACTTCCGGTTTTGATATCTCATGACCTAGACATGCTAGGGTCACAAAATTTGGATGGTAGGTAGCTCTTGTGCTGGGAAAAAGTGACATAAGTTAAGGCCCCCTAGCGGCTTGTTTTGGAACTGTAGGTCCATTTGTTTAATACAGAGAATAACTCAAGAACCGGTTGACCGATCATCATGATTTTTGGTATGTATGTAGCTTAAGTGATGCTTGACATAATTATGTGATAATTGTGCAACTTTGGATGTAATTTGCATAATTTATGCGGAAATTCTATAAATCTGTTGCATTATATGATAGAACTTTTCAAGTTTGTGGCATATGTAATTGAGAACAAGAGAAACATAGACAGATATTGATTATGTAAATTAAGAATTAATTTGAATAATTAATACGAAACTGTCGTAATTCAGCAATGGTAACTGCCTGAAATTTAAAGTGAATTGAAGGTGAACAAAGTGGTGAAACCATATTGTTTTTGCTGATGATTCTTCTCCTCCTCCTCCTCCTTCTCCTGCCATTTCTTTAAATGGATTCAGCGTCTTCATTTTGGGGCCTAAGGACCTGAAATCTGGTATGGATGTACAGTGGGCAAATACCCCTAGGCGTTTTTTTAATTTTTGTGATACAGGCTTTTAGAATGGTTTTATTTGAGCTTTTTGGCTGTGTTATAGCAAATGTATTACTGTGTTAAAGGGCAGTGTTAACCACGTTTGGGCATGAGTCATCACAATGGAATGCAGGGCATCGACCAATAGGCATGCAGCTTTCCTCTATTCTTCTTGCTGATTGCACGGCGGTCTGTCACTGCGGCATTCTTTCCCATTGCTATGCGCGTTCGAAAAGGTATCGGGTTACAAGACGCTATTTTGGCCTGTTTTGGACTACCCGTAAAATATTTGAAAATAAACAAAAAAAATATTTAGGGGTAAGTTTCGTCAAAATTAAAATGAAATTATCGTCTTAACATCCTTTAAATGTTAGCTTTTTATGTTAAATCACTGATTTTTTTTAAATTTCGCTCAGAAAGACTGTTATTTTCGGGTTTCCGAGCACAAGTCATGTCACGTTTTTAGGCAAACATCGTTCAAACCTGGCTACGTATATTACCCCAGA